CCCTAAGCCCTAAGCCCTAACCCCAAACCTCAAACCCTGAACCCTAAACCTCAAATGCTGAACCCTGACCCTAATCCCTAAGTCCCAAGCCCTAAGCCCTAAACCCTAAACCCTAAACTATAGTAGCTTCCGTTTTCTTTTCCATTGTCCCTATACAACCCTATATAACCCAATAATATGGTAGTTTCCATCTCCTTTTCCGTTATCTAACAGCAACCCAAGGTTCAGCGCTGAGCCAGATCAACACGGAGCCGGGAAGCAGCTTTGGCATCACGGCAACGACGTAGCCGCCGGCCACGAAAACCGCGGCCGAGAAGACGAAAAGCAAAATTTGAAACTGCTGACCTGGGATTTAGGATTTGGGGTTTAGGATTTGGGGTTAAGGGTTTAGGGTTCAGGGCTTAGAGTTTAGGGTTTAGGGTTTCAGGGTGTGGAGTTTAGGGTTTAGGGTTGAGGGCGGCCTCAGGGCTCTGATTCAGGGCCATAGACCCAGGGTTGGAGATGATTTAGGACTACCCAGAGGGGTTATATAGGGGATATATTGGGGTTATATAGGGATAATGGAAAAGAAAATAGAAACTACCATATTATAGGGGTATATAGGGTTATATAGGGATAATGGAAAAGAAAATGGAAACTACCATATTGTAGGGATTATATAGGGGTTACTACCCAGAGTAATATTTCAACAAGCCGGCCGTCCGCACCAAGCGTACGGCAGGTGATGGAGAAAGACATGACCATGTTGGCAGTAAGGCCAGACAGCACGCCGCTGCCCACGTTGTAGAGGCCGTGAAGCATCATCTCTCTGTCAATGTCCACCCGGATCTGCGTGGCAGTCAAGGTTCCAAAGATGTTCATCACCGCGGTCAGAACCGAGATGCAAGCTGCATTCACCTCAAGGGTCGAGGCTAGCAAACACGGTTTAGGGTTTAGGGTTTAGGGTTCAAGCATCTGCGGCAGTTTCCTGAGAAAACTCTGGTTGCGGGAACTGCAGCAAGCATACTGAGAGTATACAGTTTTCAGTATAGCAACACAAGCGGAAGCTTCAACGCTCAAACGGCAATGACAGCGGTCATGACACATCAGAAGCATACCCTAAACCCCAAACCCTAAACCCGTAAACCCTAAACCCGTAAACCCTAGACCCGTAAACCCTAAACCCCTAAACCCCTAAACCCTAAGGGTAGCGGCCCCCCCTGCAGCTTGCAGCCGAGCAGCAATCATCAGCCAGAAGGTGGGGCTGGTGAAGACCGTGAAATCCTGGGTTGCTGTTGAGGAACTCAGGGCTTAGGGTTTAGGGGTTTAGGGTTTAGGGATTAGGGTTTAGGGTTTAGGGTTATTTTAATAGGGTTTCCCAATATGGTAACTTAACTTAAGTTCCTCAACAGCAACCCAGAATCCAGCTGCGAAGAATGCTCGAAATGCATAGTCCACACTCGGTAGAAGTTGGGCCGATCGGGCATTTGCACCTCGGAATGACACCCTAAACCAGCAGCTTAAGGGGAAAGTATACATTCCCAATATGTCTCCTATGTTCATAGTCTCCATGCTGTTTTCCATTATCCCCTATAGAACCCCTATATAACCCCCAATATGTACCTTATTATACTACAGTAGTTTCCATTTTCTGTTCCATTATCCCTATATAACCCTATATAACTCCAACCGGGAGGCCGGGAAAAGGTATCCCTCGGCCCGTGCAGTCTCCAAGCCCCTCCCAGTCCAGAACCTTCAGGGCCACACTCGCAGAACCATCGTAGGAGGAGAGCTAAGCTAAGTCGCTTAAGGAGGACTACTTATCCTCAGGAAGAACTTCCAGCAAGTTGAAAAGGGTTTAGGGTTTAGAGTTTAGGATTTAAAAGCCTATGTAATCTGCACCATCATACAGGCTGGCATCTAGACCGTCATTTCAGATGCCTTTACTCAGCTTGCTCTTTTTCAAGGCGCAGGTCTACAGCATAGCCAGCGCGCATGCTGAGGGAGATATACATTGGGTACTGCCCCCCCAGTAACAGACTACATTAGGGGTCCTACTAAGGGCTATATATAGCCATATTATAATTATTATCCAACTGTTACTGAGGGGGAGCAGTACCCAAGATATACATCTATATTTATACACATACAAGTATGAACATCCTGGTTTTCATACACATATGATGATACTAAGTACTGGTTACTAGTTTCAGCAAAGGAGCATCCAGAAGAAGAAGATTGCAGCCTGCAAGACACAACAGCTGGCAGCTTGTCCTAAACCCCAAACCCTAACCCCCTTAAACCCCTAACCTAACCCCTAAACCCTAAACCCTAGATCCCTAAACCCTAAAACCCTAAATCCCTAAACCCTAAATCCCTAAATCCCTAAGCCCTGGCAAGCATCAGAGAGCCTCAGAGATGAGAAAGACAGGGATCAACAAATCCTGACAGGGCCAGTACATTGGGACTATGTGTAAGGATTTTATGGGGTTGATTTAGGGGTTATGTAGGAGTTATGAGAGGGTTATGTAGGGATTCAATAGGGTTTTATAACAGATATATGGGTTGTCTGGAGGTTATTTTGGGGTTCTGTGGGGGTTATATAGGGGTTAGCTAGGCATTGTGTATGGGGTTATATGCGGGTTCTGTAGGGAATATATAAGGGGTTATGTAACAGTTATATACGGGCTATAAAAGGGTTCATACAGAGGCGGGTAGGGACGATGAAGTTGACCTCCGTACGATGCCTCCCTCCCTGATTCCACGCCTTGGGAATGTAAGGCACCTGCACTCGGGCCACCCGCAGCGCGAACATTGCTGCGCCGGCCAGCGTGCCCGGAAGCCACTGGTGCAGCGTCCTGAATTGCAATGCTAAAATCATATCTCAGCTGATTCACCGCCTTAACAAGGCCAGCAATGTCCTTGCGACGAAAAGGGAGCGAAAGCTGTCCGCTTCCGTTAAGCCTCGGCTTCCGGGTGCTTAAACGGTTTAGGTTCGCAAGGAATCTGCAGGATTTGCTGTAGAGATCCATTTCCTACTACGCACCAGGTTCTCAGGCACCGCACAAAACTCCAGAGAAGGAAACCCTCTTCAAGGCTGAGGCCGCGGCTGACGAAATCTGGCAGCATAAGATTCAGGGCATATTGCAGGAGGACCTCGGGTTCATGACTAGGGCCCCTTTTAAGGGTACATACGGGGTATACAAAGGGGATATGTGGAGGCTACAAAGGGGTCATGTAGGGGCTATTTAGGGTTATATGGGGGTTATGTAGGGGTATTTAAAAATCCCAGGGTTAAGAGGCCATACTAGGGGCCCATGGCCCTCACTTTAGATCTGGATCATGACCACACTCCATCTTTCTGTACGCTCTACATCACATCATGTAATGGGCCAAGCTCCCCACAGATGTAAATTACCAAGGTCATGATTTAGTAGCTTCCTTCTTTCTTTTCCATTCCCCCATATCCTGTACCCGCATAAATATAAATATATGGTACCCCCCCCCTCCCAAAAAAAAAACCTACCTTTTGATGAGGAGGTCTCTATATACTTATCATAC